TCATCCGCCTGAATACTGATGCATATACAGTACTGCTCTGTACATCATGTACGTATTGTTTGCTATGAAAATCAAAGCGTGAGACCGCAACGAGAAAGGTAAAATTGTGGTCGTTTTCTTTAGGCTTAAATTTAGTAGATGTCGCATGCATCGCACCGAAGTGCGGCGCTTTCACTTCGCTGACACGTTCGAGACGAATGAAACGTTTGAAAATTTTTTGAATTTACTGCAAAAATTATTCACAAGAACAAGCCATGCCATGAAGTTTCATTAATAATTACAATAGTTGATTATATTTTTCTCAAATATAATTTTTAAGCAACGAAATTACACGATTTCTTAGCCCTGTTTCCGAGGCGCGGATTCCAGCATGACGTTTTTTTCGAGTGCTGCTAGGCTACCCTAAAACAGGCACTATTGGCTGTTGCATGTTTACGTAAATATGCTAGAAAAAAGTTCGCTGACGCTCCACAAGTACGGCATATTTCATACCGCGTAGGGTACAGTTATATTTTGGTTGAAATGAGTAGAAGGGAAAAAAGTCTGCCCTTTAATCAACATTTGTTTTAACCATTCCTGCCATTTGAAGAAAAGAATTACCAATTTAAAAAAGTGAACATGCTTCGATTTCATTACGGTTCAAGGGAAAAGGCGACCGCGAGCGTTATCTAACCGTGCGTATGAAAAATACTGACGCGAGTCAACGCAGTTTTCAAATCCGTCGCACTCATGCGTACATTAATTGATACATTGCTGGAGTGCAATTTCCTGGAAACAGTGACTGACGTGTCGAGAATTCTCCGAGCCACCGTCGCGGCAATCCTCCAAGAAGAAGAAGACTGTCGTCCCAGGAGATGCAGCAAGGGATTCGTACACTTTTTTATCTCTCGCTGTCGCTGTGCTTCCGTCAGTTTCAAGGCATTCCGCGTCGGATTACCGAGCCCGACGGCGATTCCTTCGTTTCCTTTTGCCCGAAAGTTACCCCTGTCGGACCCAACAACAGTGTTCTCGCGCTGCGAGAAACTGTGACGGAAAATGACGAATAGGAGAAGAGCCTCGGGAGGGCTTTCGACATGGGGCTCACGTACGATCACGGGGAAATGGGCCGCAGTCTCGACAAACATACCAAGTTCCAGCCCATCGCTTTGCCAAAACGTGATTGACATGCTTCCTTTTATTCCCCGCGCTGGAAAATTCCTGAGCTGAGCTTGTCCTCCGCTCCCCTTGTGCGGGAGCGGACGAGAGCTAATCTCGTGTCAGTTCCGTCGAAGACTTCCATTTAATTCCACACCACACACGGCGCAACTCCTTGCTCGGATATGCCCCGAAAATTACCGATGCACTGCCGGGGATTTCCTTTCCTGGATTGATTTCCTCGCGGAGTTCCTCTGAATGCTTGATTTAATTAGCGAATGAGGCCCCGAAGCATGCAAATCCTCTAGAAGTCTAGATTCGCTGCAGAGATCTCGGCGGGCGGGGCCGGCTTTCAAGAGCAGCAAAGTCTTGCTCAGGGTGTGCTGAGACGAAGCACGGTACAGCCACAGTACTTATTTTCTCGGCAAACTTTCCCTTCTTTGGTAACACGTCGCAGCAGGGAAGAGTAACAATTGTGGTTCTTCCATACGAACGCATGACGGCACGACATCGAAGTAGTGCCTTTCTTGGGACGAATGCCTCCCGAATCATGAAACCTCGGCCTCACTTCTGAGACGCACCGCACCGTCTTTGGAATGAAATGACGTCGGAAGAGAAAGTCCCAACGGGAAAGTACTTCAAACGATTAAATCTATGATATAAAAAATGTCGAAGTACTGTGAATGGTTTTTAGAAAGCTTCGCAAGACAGACTGACTCCCTTGTTGAAAACGCGCTTCAGCTGATGAAAATTGAAGCAGTACTTTTTCTTTCGCTACGCATTTCTCGAAAACAGCATGCTGCACGTAGTCTGTCGTATAAGAGAAAAATAATCAACTCTTCGAACTCATGTGAAACTTGCTGAAACGTCCTCAATGTTTTTTTTTTCGGCAGCCCCTTGTACTGTATTACGCTAAATCAATCTTGATCAATATTTCAAATACTTCTCAATCTTTTTTGGAGTGCAGTATTCGATACATACATTGCCAGAAATTTAAATTTAGAAATTTGCGGTGACATATGACCATTCTAGCAACTCTTCGAATTACCCATCAACATCTCATCAAAACATTGCATGATGAAAATTTTTAAGCTTTTGCCTTACATAAAATAAAAATCAACCAAAATTTGTTTAGCTACTGCCTAACATAAAATGAAAATTTTCCCCTCGCGCTGTAAACCACATTTTGCATGCTCTGTTTTATACAATTGAATTTGGTAGCGCTAGATGATGTGGAAGACGTCCATGGATGGATCTACACGTGACAATTTTTTAGTAGGAAACCATTGATAAGGCATCCAAATTTATCGTCAAGCCCACATTGAGCCCTAACATTAAGCCCATATAGAGGGTTTTTGGTACCCATGCGGTGGTATTCATGATGGGAATGGAACATCCATGGGAAAAATGAATTGAAAAGCCCTGCTATGAGATGGGGCTGGGCTGTTCCTTTTCTTTGTGAATTGCACCTTCCAGAAAAGATTCTAGTGTGCATGTACCACCTGCTGCTCGTCGTCCGTGTACCATCTGGCCAAATGTCTCTTCTACAAAGCCTCTCAAATTCCCTGTCTTCTGCCTTCAACTAACTTTTACGCTATCATGTCATCGATTTGAGTTACGACAGTAAATTTAACTCATAATGTGCGTCGAAAGCTTCAATTTTCAATAAATCATAAATAAAATCGCTCATGTGGTTTTGACTTATACATCACACCCTCTACACTATTCTACTTCAAAAGCTTGCCATTCCAATAAAGTATGCACCTCACATCTCACGCAGCTGGTTTTGAATTTTTAACGAGCTTAGGAATTTACTTCCAACACCTAGTCAAGACTTGCACGGAGAATTTTGCGTAAAAATTGCAATGGCCTAACGGACCACTACAACTGCAATAGCCCATGTGTCAGGATTGGCACCAGTCCGATGCTTTTCAAGAACGCAAACGTCTTCTGATACAAATTACTTTCTTCTCAAGCATCAGGCCCGAGAAACATAAATTTAACTGAACAACTGGAAGCGCGTTTCAAAGAGGATTATATGCCGTAATAGGGAATCACACGCTAGATTTTTGTAATCCCCCGGATCTTCTTGTTCCATATCTCTGCGGATCTTTCTTAGGGAACGTTGCTTCGTTCCTCGACCGAGCTGACGGAAAAGAAACTTCGGCCTTCGACCCCTGCAAAGAACACCCAACAACTTCCTCGCTTTCATATGAAGAGCAGGCAAAGAACTAGGACGAACTAGATGATAACGGCGGATCATTTACGCCGTCTTTCAGCTTCCGCACGGACCCGAGCCAGGAAGCATTGGATGCGTAAGATGCTCGCGTCGACGGTCAGCACGTCCTACCAGAGCCAGAGTCCCAAAGATAACTTCTCCAGACGACGAGCAGATGCGTCAAATTGCACTCCCCGCAAATTTAGAGTTGACGTTAACCTCTTCGCAGGAAGTAAAGCTCGAGATTGGACGCGTTTTCCGGCAAAATGTCCTCCGCGTGACAGCCGCGATGAGAATTTAGCGGTACGGATAAAAACACCGTTAGTGTAAGGTGGCGATTGTTGCTCATCAAAAAGGGATTTGCTCTATACTCGTCATGCGTCGCCACGGTCGAAGGGCTCGGGGGTCCATCCAAGTGAAAAGAACCAGGCATTCTCGTCACGTCGACCGAAACGAGCATCTCATCTCCGGCACAAGTGGTCCTAACAAATCTAGTGGGCAAGTCTTACTATGTAATGCGCCACGGAATGGTTCAACCGTCCCGCTCGTCGCGCAGCCATCGAATTACCTGATAGGAAAGTGTCTTCGATGGTTAGGCATCTGAAATAAATTCCCTGGGAATGGAAATGTTTCTCAGGTGCATGAGTGTTTTACCGGGCACATGCGTCCTCGAAGCGAGAAATCAACCAGGCAGACTCGCGGATTTACCCGAATCCCTGTTGAATTTGCATCGAGCCCCTCAGTCGACAGAGGAGGAACTTCAAGTCAGGAGCTGGAATTTGGGTTTCATGCAAAGAATATAAAGCCTGCCTTCTGAGCAAAGGAACAGAGGGTTGGTTCGAAAGTCTCGTCCGTCTTGTCTTGTGCTACCCATGCTGAATTCTCTTTGAATGTTCGGACGAAGGACGTGTTTCATGCCGAGACATTTGATATTTTTCTTGAGGACTGCTCCAGTGTTTGATCAGCCAGTTTCAAATAGAGAGAAAAGACAGTGTACCCCATTCCTGCTTTTAAATGATACTATACTTGCATGCTTTATGAATTTGCAGCCGGTCGAAGTGCTACGACAGGAACTTCAAATTATTGAAATATCTTCTGACTGACACCGTTCGGATTCTGAAAACGCCTTTAAATGTCGAAATTCTTATAATAATCACCATGTTTACAGTACAACGTGGTTTTTAATGTGACGGTTGCCCAAAAACGTCGATTTTAGAAGAAGTTTGCCCAAGTCATGTATGATAATGAAGAAATCCTTGAAAATTGAAGAGCATATTGCGTCAAGTCTTGTTATTAACCCCACTGTCACTGTGAGGATTCTGAGTCAGATACAGTACTTGGGCACCGAAAATAAGAACTTTCGTTCAAGTTTCTGGAGAAAACTTTCGAATCATCCCTCGTAATCTATGCGGAAACTTGCAAAGTATTCGAGCTGTCCGCAGAATTCCTTCTCTTTTTTTTTTCTCGACTAGTAGCCCGAAGGAAAATCTCATTGCTGAGCACGAACGCGTACTCAGCTTTCCCCTTTACGCGAATTGTTAATCAGCCACTAGTATTCTGTCCAACACACTTCATTGTTCCTCACAAAAATTTTGCATCATTTTCAAAGCCAATCACGTCCGCGTCTACACATGCTATCAGCGAATTTTCAATGCCACCGGGATTCTCGAGACGTCGCATCCGCCTGTGCTGGCTCCGGAACGACTGCGGTTTCAGTAGGCAGCTGTGGATTTTATTTTCGCCGATCGTCACTGTCGAAGTCGGACATTCACCATCTATACGAGCATATCCGTGCAAACGAACATGTCAATCACCCAATATGAATGATTTTTCGCGTTTTTTCTTTTATTAAGAAAACGGAGAAACAAAGTTATTCATCGATTGAGCACGTGCAAACAGGCAAGTTTGATTTGCAGCACGGGGCTGTTGATCGTCTCGTCAGACGGCGCTTTCGAGGTGCCGTCCGCCGGCTCCGGGGCGGTGCATGAGGTGCAAACTCCGAGAATTCGGCAGGTTCGCCATGGTCCTGGGAAGCGTGGCAAAGCTCAGTTCCGCATACGCCTGTTTGCGAAATACCGGAGGTCAGTCCGAGTTCGCGTGTTCTCGGTCGAAGAGGTCGCCCTTACCACCTGATGGTAGTGTTGATTGTGGTGCTGCGCGTGATTTGCTGCCTCGCACGGTGTGAGAAATGACTCTGGCGGTGACAGCGGCTCCTGGTCCTTCAGCCACATCTGCTCATTGCCGTAAATGTAGCCACCCATCTGCGTTTGACACAGTAATCACATACAGAGAAAACTGCTCTGCGTCATGGCTACCTTTCAGTGTTCTTCAATTTCTTCAAAGTCCTGTCATTCCAACGAAATACTCTTCTATTCCTACCTTCATTTCCGCGCGCGGTGTTCCGGAAGAAAGCTTTCAGCAATATTCGACGAATTTTCAGGTCACGCACAGTTTAATCTTGTGCTACAATAGTACTGTTGTGAATCTATACGCGGTACTTTGAACGTTCAAAGGAAAAGTGATTCGAACAGTTAAAAGCATTCTCAGTAATTGTGGACGAGACTGAGCTTCAGGCCGCCAAATACAAGCCTTATTACGCAAGAAAGCTAAAATTCAGGGAAAATTTATTTTCTATTTGCATTTTTTTGTCTTGAAACAAATCATGAAATAGAAAAATCAGTATTTCCCGCCTTTCTCGTATTTAGGAAGCGAACATTGTAGTTATAATAGTGCGGCATCAATCCAAAATCTCTATATACACCAACCCACACGAACATTTGGTGCAGCAACACGATAATACGGTACCTATACCTTAGTTACACCCATTATGCTTTACATTTCTAGCACAATGGAAATAATTTTCAAGATTGTTTCGATAATCAAGCTCAACTCAGAAATTTCGGGAAGAAAATCAGGGGCCTCTGATATAAACAGCCAGATGACCGACAACTATGATTAAATGTGTTTTAAAAATTATGCGTAGCTATCAATCAAATCGTTTTTCCCAAAGCCTCTCCTTTGCCATTAAACCGCGTATCCTCGAGGAAACTTTCTCAGAAACATCCACATAATTTTCAAAAATCAACGCGAGGAAGAGGACATTTAAAACCAAAAGTCGTCATTTGTTTTGGGGGGAATAATTTGTTTCAGCTTTGCATCCATATTCTCCCCCTTCCTACCGGTTATTTTGTTCTTCTAGTATCTAAAGAACTCGTAAAACTGTCAAATCTAACTTCCCAAGTACAGTATTAAAATGAGGTAGATGTGAAGATAATACTGCAGTAGACGCCTAACCAAAATGGCGCCGAAATATTTTTAATCACTCCCGTCCTTGAATACTCAAGCATTTTTGCTTTCGAGAGCGAAAAGAAAAAAAGATCTGCGATGATGAGCAGCACTGATTCCCGACTATAAAAAAATATATCTCCATAACTTTGCCTCTGTGGTAGTTTTAGAAAGTTTCCAGAGAAACACTGCTGCATCAAGGAACGCACCGGGAGCGGTCATTGTTCCGATTTAACGCATATAGAAGTTCAGATTTTGGAAATATACTTTCAAGCATTAGTAAGATGAATTCAACGGAAATGGGATTTTACAGATCATTAACAGACAAGGGTGGAAAAGTTTAGTCACTGATAGGAAGCTCTGAATTGACATGAATAGACATTGATGAATTGAAACGGAGTTCGTGATTCGGTTCGTCCCGGAATCTGAAACTTGCAAACTAGAATCGCGCGAGCTTCGGGTACAAATTTCTAGAGCAGAAAATAGTTTTGACGAGTGCTACACGCCTACACACAGCCTTTTTTTTCTTCAAAATAATCTTCGCAGGATGAAAAAATATCCAAGGGTTTTCGCACTTCGATTGCAAACTTACCTCGACTGTCCCGTCAACGTCGGGAACCGGAGGTGGCAACTGATAGTCAATTTGCTCAGGAATATGATTTAAGGACTTGGTTCTGGACGAAACCGGAAACGGCAAGGTTGCACAGGATCCCGGCGGCGGGTTTGATAGGACTGAGTACTCTTGCCCCAGCGTGACCGTCTTCACCTGTGTGCACTGTCGGTTCATGTCTGAGCCCTTCACGCGTAGCAGCGTTCCTGTGGGACGAAGCACAAACACGCCGACCACCCGGTCATGATATGATCCTTTCAACACGTTCGTCCACTTATTGGTTCGTGAAATGAACAGTGTAAGGCTCCAACAATATCGTACAGTACTTTAAACAATGCATTTAATGGCATGAATTCAACCCGTTTGTCCACGGCGAATTAACGAAAAGGTTTGAAGATTCAAAATCTCCGAGAAGTTTGTTTGCTTATAGAGTGTTCAGAGTGGATTGGACAAACTCGAAAGAGCTGTTCATGGAAAGAGCGATGTTATCCAAGCCGTTGAGCGATCGACGGCGTTAGTATGTCTTCATAAAGAACCTTCTTCTGCGTGGAGATGTTCGAGTCAGCCACGGAATGTCACCGACTGCTCAGGCAAATGGCAAAAAAGGATTATTCATTCTTTACTGCGGGAAGCTTCAGGGAACGTAATGCATTCATTCCACATAACCGAGTAATTTTGCCCATTTCCGACGAGGGAGACAAAGAGTGGATTATAGAAGTAAGCACAACGAAAGGAAGATGGATATAAACACTGCTGCCATCTTATGCGGGAAATAAGACGATAGTTATTCCTTGATGCGTCCCATGAGTAAGTGCAGTCCACTGGCATCTCTTCGTTGTGGAGATTCATTCTGGCACCGGAGCATCTGAGCCCCCCGAAATCATACGTAGTTAGCAGGCATATCGGCCTGGTGTATGGAGCAGTGCCAAATTTTGCACTTTGACGCCAAAATGAAATTTGCTTGTTTAATATTAATTTTGCTTGACAGTCCTCTCTTTGTCTAAATCAGAGGTTCTCGAGCTGTTCCACGCTGCATTCTGAAGAGGCTCCTCGGCCATTCAAGTAAACATTGAAGAAAGAATAGTTAAATGTGATATTGTGTGTCACGAAGTAAATTTTGCAAAAAGTAGTCAAAGAATGGCATATCCGTAAACTACAATTTCACGCTTAAAGAGCAAAGTTAATACAATTTCAAGACATTTAGAAGGCCTGAGGAGAAATGCGTTAAAATTGGCCGTAAAATGGGCTTCTCGAAGCGAAATGATTGAGAAGCTCGTCTACATCGCTCTCCGTTGGGAATTAAAATTTTCTGATTATACATTGACGTGAGATGATTCTTTCGAAAATAAAATATAAACTAGAATTCTTGACTTTCACAAAAACTATAAGATGGAAACCCTTTGAGGAAAAGAATTCCAAGGTCTTCAATGCATGTCATACTCTTAGTCGATTTATTCATAATCACATCGTTATTAGGCAAAGTTTCAGGAAATGATCGATCCCGTGTATGCCTACAAGTACTCAGGTAATCCCAGTGAACGTGTTTAGTGAACTTCGGATGCAATTTCCTCGCAAGGGATGCTCGCAATTCAGTCTAAAAATTTTCACGAATGGTCTCATACCTAAATACGATGGTACTGCTAGATGTATCAGGGGTTTTACGCAACGAGTACTGTATCCGGTAGCTTCTCACGCGCTGCTGTGAATCTGACGTTACTGAAATATTCTGATTTTTAAAGTCAATATTTAGAAGAAAAAAATCTCTCCCTTTCGAGGTGAAGACGTGAGGAGATATAAAATATTGTTTACTTTGCTTTTTACCACCCCTTTGCAGCGATGAAAGCCTACCTTCAGTAGAAGGGAAAGGGAAAACAAGAACAAACAATGAGGAGCATATACTCTTGCCGTTCTTTCACGCATGCTACCTTCCTATGACGGCCTCTCTTTCATGATATCACGCATGTCAGGTCTGGCACTTGATAAAAAGAAAGGCCTGGCTTATACCAGCTCTTCCATAATAAAATATAATTACAACAAAGCGAGTAGTAAACTATAGTAAAGTATTTTCGTTATACCGAAAAAATCGTTATGAAGAAACTACGGTAACATGGCGGACATTGGACAGGGACCTTAATTCTTTGTAAGCGATTGTTCGTTATACCGAGATTTGTCGTAAAGAGATCCTTCTGTAGTAAATAGTTTCCTATTCTGGTGAAAAATTTCCCACCAGGACTAGAATTAGTTAATTTATCATCCATCACTCACATGAAGCCTAATACCCAAAAATTTACGAGCAACCCATAACCAGGTTGCGAACAATCGAATATTGTATAGGCATGGACTGAAATATCCAGAAAATACGCCTACGACATAGCCTTGATTATTCCAGTATGAAATAACCTTTGTTCAAATTTCAATTCAGCCCTAGGAAGAGAATCAGCGAATACATGTACAGTACTGTATTACTGAATTTCATTTTCATCAGGTTTATATCCCTCTTATTGGCTTGAATTCGCACGGGATTTTATGTTGACTAAGATCTGCGTGTTAGGCGTCAGAAACCTAGCAGAATATCCAAAACAAAGGCTGCATGATCTCACGATGATAAGCTCACAGGACATCAAGGTCTTTTTAAAGACAAGTTCATGATGGCATCTGGGACTTGCGTTTATCCGAAATGTTTATATTTTTCGTCATTATAATTATTTATAATTATTCCATCGTCGCGAGCGGGATTCCAAACTATTAAAAGACAATGACTTGGAACATATGCCTTAACAATGCAGTTTTTGCATTTAGGGGGGGGGGGGTCATCTTAGAAAACCCCAAGACACTCGGCGTTTAGCTTCTTCCCATATTTTTCTGACGTTTATCCTAAAATGATAGTCTAATGTCGGGTCTGATTGAATTAACTGGCTCGTAAAAAAATGGAAAATGCATGTTTTCCGATTTGAAAGTGTGGATTGGTTTGGAGGTGGGTTCATTGCTCATAAACAAAAAGGGAATAAAAACCCCAGAGGAAGAACAGTAGTAAAATAATGCGATGCAAGAGAAGCGGAAGGAAAAATAGAAGATAGATTTGGCAGCTATTTTCACCCCAAGGAACAATTCCGTGTCTTCTCTCAACATCATGTTACAGTGTAGTGATCGGGATTCGTCTCAAGGATATATGGCTTGCATTGAGGGTGGTTTCTGAAAATAGTACTCAGACATATTCAATAACTAGGATCACTTGAGCCTTTGTTTTGAGATTATTATCGAGATGGAATCTTTTTTTTGAAATGCACACAAAAATAACTATTTTTGTATATAGAGCCCTTGGTTGCTTCTGCCATCACATGCCTTCATATTCACTCAAGTTCTCAAAGAATAACATTGATATCCTTTCATAGGACACTTGACAAAGAATTTTACCTATGGGCCAGGAATGAATAAAGTACTTCTATAAAATGCAATGAATGGCAACGTAGTCTAAGCAAGGCAGCAGGAAGCGAGCTTTGCATCGTGATAGGGCAACTCGATGGCCTCATGACCTTAATTCTGGAGCGTGCTCGGTTCACAAGAAGCATCGGGAAATCAGATAACGAATTTTTATTCGGGAACAAGTGCATCAAAGAGGCTTATCATTTGTCTGGTTCCACGATACCATCGCGCAGCGCTCCTTGAAATGATCATACGAAGTTCATCGTCGGGCTATTCGTGAGTACAGTATATCTTTGCAATCTAGACGACTCCATATTCTTCGCAACCAGGCCTGAACGAACTGATAATAGCTTGAACGAATAAAAAGACTCGTTAACTCGATATTATCCCATTTCCTTCCTTGATTCGTCGCGTTCATTGTTTCAATAAGAGCATAAAAAATGACGAATAAGGCGAATAAGCCAGTCTGGAATCCCGTTCAAGGTCTTAGCATGAAAATATCCGAATGGAATCCGCGAGCTCATCATCAATCCCGGTCACGTTGGGGGTACGAAAAATCATGAAAGATCGAGGTCCACGAGGGGAGATAAAAGGGGAGATTCGTAGGGGGGAAAAACCAGGACAGCTATGAAATTTCTTGATCCCTGAGCGGGAACGACTCACAGACTGTAAAGGAAATCCAATATCCCTAGGCACTTTTGTTCAAACGATCAGGAACCGAGGGAAACATCGCGCGGTCCTCCGGATATGACATATTGAGGAAGTCTCGGTTTCCAGGCTTTTCCCCTCAGTCGCTCCGCTCCAGTTTTCAGCAATATTGACGTAAGCTTCCTGTAACTCTTTCCTCTCTGACACTGCGTCTGGATTCCATCGCTTTTTCCCCTCAAATAGTGCGAGATGTCATGCCCATAAACGACTACCTCGCTTCACTGCCGTATGAAATAAACTGTCGGCAACTGAAAGTTAAGCTTGGCAAAAGCCGTGTTGTTCGCTGTCTGGGTTTCCTCGAATAAAACATATTTCCTGGGTCGATCATGCCTTCCTGCTGCGCGGGAGTGGGGAGATGAATGAACCCGGGCTTCATCTTTATACAGACTAGTGAAGAAATATTTTTCGCGGATCGCTCCAAAAGACCGGGATCATAAACACGCATGAAATCCCAAAGTACCTTGAAACGATTACTATCAACAAAGGCTCTTACCTTCTTTCAATCCTTCATAACAATAGCCGCGACATTTACGATGAGAACATACGCTATCGTTCCGAAAATACACCACATATAGGGACGGTTTCTATCGTCACGTGCTTTCCATCAGGAATCTTGCTGCTTTTTTCTTTCCTCAACAGAGGACGATTAGAGCGGAATCGAACCTAACGGATATTATCCAGGACCATGTTATGTCTCGCTCAAGGCAAGTGCTGCTTGACTTGAGCGATCGTGCGAAGCTACGGCTTCGTAGCAAATGTAATAACTCTTTTACAGACAAAAGAAAACAGGTTATAATAAGTAAATTGCAGAAAAATACCTCATGTACGAAAATTATATGTAATCACATAAAACGCCGCCGATTCTAAGGTGAGTCGTAATTTTTCGTCGCAGGCTGAAGGAAAGCTCACCGGAAATTCCACGGCACGCTACAATTTTCTTCGCAATAAATTGGGACCACTACTACACAGGGGAATAAGGAAGTGCTCGAATGTTGAAATAACGATCTTCAACACAATGTATTGTAACGACAAAACACAAATGAAGGCCCCCTCTAATTTTTTTTTATTGGAATTGACGTCTACAGAAGTACGAGGATAATTTCTAGAGGAAAAATGTCAATACATCCTCAAATTTATATCTTCGAATGGTTAGTATTTTTCGAATAATTTTTCAACCTCATCAATAATAATGTGAACCATTGTCCATGACTTGAGGAGCCGTCGATCATTTTTGAATGGGTGCATATTCATTGATTACCACGGAAATTTCCATGCTGCATAGGAATCTAATCTGCCATTGATTTCAAAACGCAGAGAAAAAATGGTTCATTTATCCAGGTAAATAACGGGTTATGGAATGCATTCACGCAATAGAAAAAAAAAATCTAATGGAAAACTCGAAGGTACTTCACCAGCTTTAAGAGGGACTACGTCGTGGTCATTGTCCCCGCTGCTTCGCTCGCATTTGTACACATTGTTTGAATTCATTTGCGAGCTACTGACGATTTTCGGAGGCCTGGATCTGGTCGTAATCGTCCTGCACCGACGAACGGTCATGACAACCAGCAAGACCACGACACCCACGAGGATCAGGCAGATCACTCCGATCCCTGCCGCCACGGTAGGATTGAAAATGGTTAGTCGGTCGGTGCCTGTGAAACCTTGCCCTGTGCGCAGAATAAGAAAGAGAGTCCGAGTATGGATTATTTTCCGTCAGACTTCACGGAGCTCGCTCAAACTAAACCGATCCCACGCAAATCTCTCGCGGCCCGATCAAGGGCGATGAGAGAAGGAATAGTTTTTTTTAACCTGCAAAGAATATTTATTTTGGTCAGCTCACTTCGGAAAATTTACGCGTGCTTCCCAGCCTACGGCATTCTCAGCCCGGTTTCAGCTTGTTGTGGCCGCTGATACAACTGGAATAACGCGTGCATAGGACGCTTTACGGCGTGCTCGAGTGAGCGTATGTATTGGATCATATAATAGTGAGGGTGATCTTTGCTTGCAGAACGAGTACTTCCATGCAGATGCATGAGATGAGACACCTTGTTAGCTGCGAATTTACTTTCGCCGTTGAACGCACTCCGGAATATTGCCTTAAATTATTCAAAGTGCGCTTGGACAAACGCAAAAAAAAATTTTGGAACAAGAAAATCCGCAATGAGAGGTAAAATACGATCGACCAAAGAATCTCGATTTCATTACGGAGCAATGCGAACAATAGAACACTTTCTGGTCATGTAAACCACACATGGATGGAAATTATGCAATGCATGAGTGATGAAATCAGCGTTCCTTCCTCCATGGTAGGATTATTCCCAGACAGAATTAAAAAGCAATTGAAAAATTGGTGCCAGGAAGCTTAGAAAATTCGGGAACATTAGTTTAAAAACGCTGCGCCACATGAATACTATTTCGCAGTTGATGTGCATCCATTTTTAATCCCGAAACCTTAGCAACTGTACTTGTGGGATACTGGGAGAGAGTTCTCAATATATATCTTTAGGGATTTTGATTATGTATCGTAAGATCCTGATGAATACCGGGGTTTAATTCACAAATTCTCCACATGCTGATCCGAAAATGCAGGATTCTATATCGTTAAAGACGATTGCGTTAGAATGTGGAAGATCAAGCGCGGGTACAAGCTTCAGTCCATTGAATCCATACGTCTGAAGTAAAGCCTTTTCGGAAGTGCAATATTCGTTATGGAATAATAGCTGGTGCCACTTTGGTACGGCATCTATCCACTCACTGAGCACTTCAGTACTGATTCAACCACATTAATTTTATTCTCAGGCAGCTTTCGGCAGTTGAAAGACGGGCGAAAAAACAAAGAGCGGGGAGGTGAATGGAAAGCTGAAAAAATTCCCTCCTCCGCTTGAAAACGGACACTTTTTCTGTTTTATTTCTGCTTTTTTATACGTGTCAGTTAAAATTATCTGGGCATCGTTATGTCTGTCCTTGGTGTTACGGCTGGGTATCGGCTGGGTAAGTAGGTTCCGGGGTGAACGATTTAGTTGATGCTGATGCAGTGTATTTTATTTACTTTGCCTAGTTAGAGTTGTCGGGCAATTATGCTGCTTTCATGCATCATCAATTCTTTCGAATAGTTTACTGCTTCATAATATTGTACATAATGCAGTAAATTCAACGTCACGGGCCAATCGAATTTTTCGATATATGACACGGGGGATGACAATAATTAAATGCTGCATCAACATGTTGATGTTCACGTTAGTAGATGGAAGTGTTTTCAGATACCGTATTAAAGATAAATTTCTCGCCTTTCGAAAACACGACTATATATACCGCAAATTCTCTTCTATGAATCATGACGTATCATCATCCGAACATTGTGTGACTCGGTGCAGATTCTATCGACAGGGCAAACCACCAATGGTTTCTCGACTGGATATGATATTCTAGCTCTAGCTGATCCCATTTGATCTCTTTTCTATCGCTCAAAGTCCCTTTCGTTTCTGCCGATTCGCCTCATTCCGGAATCGTCACATCCACACAACAATCCCTCGGGTATTGCTCAATATCACAAGGTCGGAATCAGGGCGAGATAATTTGTGATACATTTGCTGATGCGACGGGTATCACCCTGTTGACTTACTTCGAGGTGATAGCCTGAATAACTACTTTGCTGGATACATTGTCCGTGGTATGATTTCCTACCACGCTGCTGCGTATATCAATAAAGTCGTGCCAGCGATCATTTTCAGAAGCTCAGCGAAGAACGAAGCAAATATGCTTTGAAGACTAGGCTTTAATCATCAGCACAATTAATTTACTTTGAGGTTGATGTTTAATTAAATTCGAATATATTCCAGCTACCAATTCTACACAGCCATTACAGTTATAAATCAAATCTGTGAAACCTCAATAGTCTATCACCCATAAAATTAGTTTTTTCAAAATCTAAAAATATGTAGTCATAGACTATAGACGATGCGTAGTTCATTGCGAAAACCGCTGAATAACACGTTCAACTGCTGTATTTTCAACCTGCATTTCCGCAACCCACAGGAATCTAATAATTCTTGATCGCTGAACACATAAGGATTAAAAATAAACCCAATTATTTTAATTTGAGAATAAGCACAGATAATTTATGAAGATTTTTTGTGGTTAGATTCAGGGCAGTGCGCGTCGGTTCATGATGAAAACAAACCGAATTCATCAGTATTCTTTCCATCACAAATGCCAGTCGCAATGATAAAACCTGATCAAGCTATGTCCCATAAAGGCATAAAAGACAGGCGGTATATTACGGTATTACTTCCCTCAAAATTGAGATCGGGGTTGTTATGAGGGTATGCCTTATTTTCTGATCAATAGAGCAAGAATATTCATGGATTAGAATGGGAATGATTGTTGAATGTTCTATCAGGGAAGTTATGTCCTTTCGGATTTTTGAGTTTGAGGCAAACAAATTCAAGTGAATGGGACTATTACGCGGAAAAGGAATATTGTGGAGAGCTAAGAAAATATATTTTTCTCCGCATTACATTTCAGGGAAGGGATTTTATCTTATTTTCAAGGTAGAGCTCGCTTATATTCATGATACCATAAAAAATGCTCAAGTAATATGTAATGACTAGGTCTCATTTTGAGAAAGACGCTGGTGGCTGATTGATTGTGATTTCTGGAAGCAAAACCCTTCTAAATCCGCCAGAGTAGGATCTCGGCACTTGCTTGAACATTTTCCCCTCGATTTTGGATTTTTATAATCAAAATTTCCATGCAAGAACGAATGAGAAACTAAATGCAGAAATTCAGATACTATTAGGTTTCTTCAGGCACGAACCTGTGTCGAGTTTTTTCACGTCCATGATTTTCGGAGTGCGGGTCTCCAAAGTCGTCGTCACGCTTCTTCCCTTGCTGTTCGCAGCGTACAGAACGACGGTGTAGGAAATCCCGTCCTGCAGCCCTTTAGCTGTGAAGGCCGGCTTATCATTCGTCAAGTTCGTGGCCAATGTTTTCTCTTCGGACGTGTACAGCTCCATAATGAAAAGCTGCGGAAGTCCGCCGTCGAACCCCTCCTGACACTCCACTTTCAGCGAGGTCGGAGTTTGGTTCACGAAGTTGCAGTTGATAAGCGGCTCTGGCGACCCTGAGAACGTCGAATGAAAGCCACTTCTAATTTTTTCCTGTCTTCAAATCGAACTTCTTTATCCCGCAAGAAAAGTAATTGGCAATTTTTCGTTACTGATATCAAGCAAAACACCCAAAACTGTGAGCAACGGTTTAAATCCGGCGAAAACGGAGCAAAATGCCTTATTTCCCGTCACACAGTTCGTTCCTCAAAAAAAAAAAAAATTCTGCAAAAATTCTCGAGCGTTTATAAAATATTTCTGTGCAACCGAGGAACACATGTCATCACTTTCGTAAAATAAACGAAAGGTTGATCCCACAAACAAGCCTCGAAGAAGGTTCGTCGCAATATCTAACGCAATTAAGGTCCTTTCAGCTTCCGTCCCCCACAAACTCTCCAAAGATATGTTGTTTAAAGCCGGGCCCGGTGAAGGGTTCTTCCAAGTTCCCCGCTTAATTGTCTCGAAGCGATATTCTCAGAGCTTGACGCATTCGAAATGTCTCGGGCAACCAACGTTGTTAATGATTCAATCTTGGGTTAGCGTCTGGATTCATCAGCACGCGCAAAGACCGCGCTACAGGAAGTCTTCCAATCATCGATGTGGGATTGCGTCGTGATAAGGAGCGCGGAACAAACCACCGGGACGCCATCACAGCGTGGAGAACAATAAACCGAACACGCAGGAACGGCGTATTAACCTGTCAGCCATCCGCGCGGCATGAGACATCAATGTCAAAGGATCCCTGGGTCCATTTCTGGCTTCAACATTCCCGTCACATGAAGAATCAATCCCCATCTCTATGCAAAACAACCCGTCGAGTCATTAGTGACAGAACATGTGAATCAAGTACAATAGAACACGGAGTGCTCCTGCGGTCGTGGGGATCCGATGACATCGATTACGCGGGTTGGCTGATGGAAGAATTCCCGGTCACAAAAATGCATTAAAAAAAAAAACAAGACTCCCGATCTCTCCCATCACTCTTTCTGAACCGCTTCGAGGTATAAACACATCACAGTACCTTGATTTGTTTCAAACAAGCGTGATTGTCTGATTTTAAATCACAGTAAAGTGCATTGCCTTTTAAACAATACGTCAAGCGAAATCATGACAGTTTCGACGTTGAGAGTTGAGACAGTTCTTATGCAGAGCGTCAATCATCACCAATTACCTCGTCCACCAATGCGTGATTTCAAAGCTGTTAACCTTCTATGATTTTATCCAAGGTCTTAGTGGAGAAAAAATCAACCCCAAATATTCTCGAGTGATGCCTACGTATGCAGTACAATATCTTGAATAGTTTGGAAGCGGTATTGAAGATCCTAACGCGAAAACCTCAAGTTCAAATGAGACGGGTGGGGATCGAAATTCGTGAATTGCTTCATATAGCTCAAAATATTCGAGAAATGCGTGTAAATTGATCAAAAATATTTCGAAAAGAATCAAATCGATAACAAAACCCCTGTTGATACTTTATCTCCAGCTCCACAACCGGAAACCAGATACTCCTCGGATTTGGAGAACCATTTCATCATCACTTATCTTTATTCGTGCGTCGAAGTCATTTGATTTCACTCAACTAAACGGCTTCAATTCACGAAATGCAGTAAAAGATGGTTAATGATTTCCAAGAACTTGTCGTTCAGAAAAGTTGACACGTGTTTTCCAGCCAGAAGATCCAAATTCACCTCGTACTCCTACTTGAACGAGTAGCATCATAATTATTGTTCCCAAGAAACGTTCCTCATGAGGTATTCTTGAAAAAATTCATTAAATTTTGAGTGAACGGATTTCCACGATTCTAAAAGAATGAAAGTATATGCACGACATCAAATAAATCCAACCTTCGCCTTGCACAAAGTATTTTTTTTAATCGGAAAGAAAAAACTTGGAAAAAATTACCAATGCACTTCGTGAATCTGAAACATAAAGAAGATGCATCTTTATTTTACGTGAAGCAAACGTATAACTCCAAAAATAGGGCGACTCTTTACCTTGATGATTCTTTCAGCTAAGTGAAATTTTGTGACGGATCTGCCTAACCGATTCTCAATCGAATCCTCTACTGAAAGTATACAAACCCCCTCACGCATTTCAATGCCAAATTATCGATCTAATTGTCTTTTTGATCTAAATCGTGAACCTACTGCCGCAATACGCCCTATATAGCTCGTTTTTGGCATAAAAAATACTGTTGCAAACGTCTTATTATCTCGGAAATACGGCCAGAAGTTATCGAGTCGTAAAACACCGAGGAAATAAATGACGTAATTCTTCATGAAAGCAGCTTCCAAATACGATCGAACTGAAGAGAATGTGCCTGTGAAGTTGCAAAACTTGAAGAGGCATGTTATTCACGCTCAGAAACTATCGCGAAACAAGAACAGCTGTGTAGTTGTATCTGTCAAAGTTCGACCACAATTTCTCAAGCAACACGGTCGATCCAGTCTCAATTTCCGTCGACATCGCGAAGAACGTGCAGTATTACGGTCTCGGTCATTTTCCCTGAGCATCACGCGCAAAAAGGCGACGGAAAGTTTTTGCGACGAGGAGGCAGGCGGTACTGCGACACAGAGGGAACATGGTGGGGGGGATAATAGACAAACGAAAAAGAAAAAAGACAAACCTGTTTGCAAGATGTGGAAGACGCATGGAGTTTGTTGATTGGCAATAGCGTTGGTCGCCCAGCAGAGCAGAGTGCCGTAGTCGAACTCAGTCTGCGTCTCGTAGGAGACGACGCTTCGGAACGGGTCCGGTCGCATCTGATGTCCCTCAGGAACCTCGAGAACTTCGGAGGATATATTGAAAGCCCACCTGAAGGACTGCGGTGCAGGCTCCGCTTCCACTTGGCAACTTATCTGCACTTTTTCCATCAGAGCCACCCCGTAGATGGCTTGTTGATTCTCCTTGCACACGGGCGGATCTGGGGTTGGAACGGAGGCGCATCAAACCCCATTGATTCGTAGCGCTTATTTATTTCCGACAGGCTCCCGCGTCGGCGAAGTTCGGTTCAAGCGCGGAACTTCTCACAATTAGTTTTTTCTCTCTCTTTAATTTGCATATAAACCTATCCTTTCCACTACTTCGCAGCGGGAAGAGGCGAATATGAAGATCAACGGAATGCAGTAGAACTTGCATTATCCGGGCTTAAATTAACCATGCGAAAGTTCTACTTCATGCACAGGAAACTAAGCAGCTTGTATACTTTTTATTCGAGATGATTTTGATCTGAGAATACACGCTCAGCTCAATCCTGACTTTCGAAATTCGTCGAATTATGATTAAAATCTCCATCTCTCTATCCGTGCAATTTTCCTCTTGTGATTTCTCGGGAAATTCCCCTATTATTAAACGGAATCAGCTAAGTTTCAGAGTATTTTAAAGCTCAAAATCAAGATAATGAAAAAACCGCACGCCAATAAAGAATACTTTGGAAGGCTGACACTTCATGAAGATTTACAACAAGTAAACAGTTATGAGAATGAATTAAATTTGAACTGCTCCCCGTCTAAGGGCCTGAGATTCCCATGAATCGTCCTGACGTGTTGTCCAAATTTTTCAAAAAACTGAGAAAAAAATCTTCGGAAAATTTGTCTCCCTGCTTTTATAAGAATGGTTTTATTTCTGTGTTTCAATACAATTTGAATCTACTTGATACGATTATGGAAGCAAGTTAATCGTAGAAAAATATTTTTAAAGCTCTCTTCCCATCAACATCAAAGACAAATCCACTGCTGGATTGAGTTCATGAGACCAGAAAGCGGTATTAATTCTCCGTCAGCATTATTCAATATACTTGAAAAGCATCGACGGAACATTGAGTAGGAAAATGTTGAAATGCATGTCATTGAATAATTTTTACTTATTTTTAAAATTCGCGTATCAAAATTTTTGGAGCAGCAAATACGACTGAGAATGCGGTATATCCGACCCGCATGCCTGTAGCTGATAAATATTTTTCGCAATTTTCACCAATACGTTCTCGTATCGTAGCTTACAATTTTAACGTCAGGGATTCATTCACTTCGTTCATTTTCCAAAGGGACTGAATCTATCGGTTGTAGGCCTCCAGCGGCTTTTATCCTTTAGCAGTAAAGAATTTGTACAACCGAAAGCACTTGCACTGCGATCGAATCAATCTATAGTTCAATTCTGGGATACTTTCCGAGGATCTTTCGAGACCAGCAACTTTCATCAGGCTGATGGCTCTGTGGGTGCACTAGAAAAAGCTCACTTCTAAGATGACCCGGAGCGGAAAGAGAAAGAGGAAATATCTCGCGTTTTCAGAATCAAGATCGGATCCTCCGATGCAAAATACTGCATTAACTCGAATCTTCAGATAAAGGGTGGACCAGTAAAAATGTAGACACGTTCTTACGCTGTGGAAATGAATAAGAAAATAGTAGTGTTATGGATTGCAGCATTTATTAGTCTTAGGGGAATTTCAAACTGGAGACAAACTAACTGAAGAAAATATTTCTTCCTTTCAAAGGCACACATAATTGACGCAGGAAAGCTGCATTCTGGCACCACCAAGATAATGGTTCTATTCCCCACGACCATGCTGAAAAACGCATTTTATGATAAAAAAAAGGAATAAAAACTCAGACATCCCTGAAATATCCCTATGTACTTCAGTAGTAATAGCTTTGCTTGGTTGGCTGCTCACAAATTATTCAAAGGCTTGAAACTCGGAAAATCCTTCCGCGAACCCCATTAACTCAGGAGTAATCATCTTCAATTATTTATACTGGTACTGCATACCATTTCAACAAAAAACTTCAAAAATCTGCATCAATAAAAAAGAAAACTGAATTGGCTTTGATGTGACATTGTTTGAAACGAAATCATTCAAACAGTTCTTAATATATCCGAACTTAAAATTCGGGCTGCTTTTTTGACGGATCATGCATAAATAATTTTCTGATTTTTTAGCCATTCGAGGTATTTTATAACATTTTATAATCTTTCATTGATGGCATGCTTCGAATATTGAACGGATGTCAATCTCTGAGTCATTTTATTGCACATCGAATTTTAAGCACTTGGATCTTTAAAAAAAAAATGCGACTTTCGGAAAGGTCTCAGCGGAGCTATGCTCCTCAGAAAGTTAATTCAAAATATTCTAGGGTTACTCCTCGATGCATCTTCAATAGTTTGGAAGTGGTATTGAAGGCCCAAAGTTTCAAGTTTGAATGAGAATTGTGAAAATAAAATTCGCGGATTGCTTCAATCCTTAGCTCAAGAGAGTCTAGAAATGCGTGCAATTTTTTCAGTATTTCGAAAAGAATCAAATCGAGAAAAAAACCCCTGTTAATACTTTAAATCATTTTCTGATTCGTACCAGAAAACGGACATTCCTTGGATTCGGAAAACCGACTCATTAGCAGTTCCTTTTGTGAGTTGAAGTCACTTAATTTAACTGAATGAACGACTTCAACTCACGGAATGCGGTAACATGTGTTTAATGTTTTCCAACAATTATTTTAGACCATCCCTATACAGATTCCATCCAGAATTTTAATAATTAAAGGGAAACAATTTTCATTATCATGTATGATTAAATCCCTGGAATATGTGGCACAGATGAACATTTTCGGATTCCTATTTTTTACTTATCGATCTTTAAACCTTTGAATTATGAATACAGAACCTGCAGCAATAAAAAATGAAAAAAAAGCCTCATGAAAAGGAGAAAGAGGTTTCGAATCTGTCCCAGACGGCAGCGCGTCATTCAAAGGCTATAAGCCCGAGAACTATTGAAAACTCTCTTTCATTTGCGTAAATACGGTAGTGTTTTCCGATCGACGACTGACGACGGGAAACTACACGGAGGTTTGGTTCGATATGGCGATTATCTTGCTAAAATGAGACACAACTCACATTTGACGAGGAGATGAACGGGTTCGCTTTGGCCTTCACCTTGGCTATTCTGAGCGTGGCATCGGTAGGACCCCGTCTTGACGCGTTGGATTTTCTGAAGCACGAGCGTCTGATTCGTGATAACGACTCCTTCTCCCCGTTCCAAGATGCTCCCCTGCGGTGGACGCATTGCGCAGTGAATAAACAAGGCGGACACAATGACGAGGCTGCGGCCTGTCGCCGAAAAGCAGCCTCGGATTCAGTGAAACCCCCGGGATCGTGACGGGTGTCACAAAATGCAAGGGGGAAGTTTAAAGCACCGACTGCTCGGATCAGGAAATCTCGCGCATTTCCAATCCATCACGCGGGATGATGGAGTGCGCGCTAACAGCGATCGATGCCACTCTTCGCCCTTCTGACGCGATATTTTGCTTTCCCACATTGGTACCGCGTTTCGACAAAAACAGGGAAACCTAGGAGCAAACCCTATCGCGGAACCCACGCGGGCTTTACTTTCTCCGAGATAAGTGGGTTGCCGCACTGGATATCCCTTGATAAATGTGTCGCGGACGAGAAGACCCGTTATGCAATAGATTTTTTTAATATCCTCCGAAAAAGTTGAGGGGGGAAAGGAGCTTCCCGCGGATGGCGAAAGTTGCAGGCGTCAACGCGAGACGCCTAAACAAGAGAGAATATGGCCAGAGTTTTGAGAGATTCAAAACCCCAAACGCGTGCATGACCCTGCGAAGGGCCATCCATACTGCGGGCGTACGAGGTTCGGTTATACTCAGCAAGGCCGTCCGAGTGTACTTTGCATTCCTCACACTAGCTCGAGATTTGCCTAGTTAAGTTCGGAAGATGAAATGAACGAAGCCGGGTGTAACGCCGACGATGTCGGGATCAAAGCGACAGCAGCGCGAGTCAACTTCGACATCACTGTCTTTGCCGGAAAATCTCGTGTTCCTGCACGGCCGCGGAGGAGCCGACAGCTTTCCTCAGAATCCCTGAGTTTTCTTCTCACCCTTTTCACTCCTGCCCACGTACAGTGTAGTTCTGCCGGCGCAATATGTTGTCGACGGAACTGGCAGAGATACAGGGACACCATGCATGCCTTTGCCGGACTCCGAGTCCACGAAGCCCCATTAGTTTCAAGCACGTATCGCCCCCCCCCCCTCTCGCCAGGACGGGAGGACATTTATAGCCTCGGACACCATTGTCACGAATCCCTTTGCTCCAGCCGCTTGTTTACAAATCCTCATCGTGTCATTCCGTCAACGCTCTATGTCATAATATCCCAGTTATCTTTACGTCACATCGCCCGGGAAAATACCGACACCCCTCCAGCAGTCCAGCTTCGCCGAATGAAAAGACCCTATTCATGCAACCACTGTATATACGTGTAGGCCGCGTTCTAGTAGGCCGCACCATATGCTTCTAAACCGCTATTTCCGGAGAGAAACTGCATAGGCCGCAAAAAAGTGGACATTTCTGGGAGAAAAATATGACCTCGAATAAGTAAGGTTTTCACATGATGCGTTACCTTTTCATCGACAAGTTCACCCACCCAAAACGATTATCCTGCACTGAGGAGTAACAGGAAAAGGGCTTTGAACTTGAACTAAGTTTGATTAATTTTAGAAAATCTCGTATGAAATTAGCTTTTCATCTTTCAAATGCAAGCCAACATAATTCTGTGATATTATCCCACATTATTTAAATTAGTGCGGCCTACATGAACAGTTTCTGCAAATAGTTTTTCGAGGAGAGAATGACTTGTGATATTCGGATCCCTTGCATGAGCGTCACAAGTTCACGGACACGTCGGACCAGATCCGATCAAATATGCATAAATTGTGATGGCGTGAAAGCATTCATGACTTTTGCTGGTGACTCATCTCTGATGTGCCAATCGCTCATTCAAAGCAGGTGAATGAAGTGGTATTCGAGTCGCCCACGGCGTGACTAAAGAGTAAGACTCGAATGCAATTAATCCAACAAAGTACGCGTACTCGGAGGCTTTCCAAATGCTTCCGCTATATGACGGGAAATTTATGACGGTCACACATCGCCAGGTGGTTTTGACACATTCACACAAAGACAATAGCAGGCCCAAACTTCACTGCGACGATGGAAATGTAGGAAAGAAGACATACTCGTACCGGAAAGTGGGGAAAAACGGAGTTATATTTCCACCGGATCGCAACATGGTAAGAATTCCAAGTTAAGTTCCGAAATGTAAGCCATAAATTATATTGAACTTGGGCACTGAGCTGCGCCGGGGAAAGTTTCATTCTCTCTCTTCTCGAGAAAGTTCACAGAACGTGTCAAGCCCTACGATTCAAGGCAAACAATCCCCTGCACCCTTCCCTGCGGGTCGCTGAATAGCACGGGTAGGTCGACTGCTGGTGGGATTAAGGGAGATGCATAGAATTGTTACGCTTCCCACAAGTGTATCACATTGTCGACATTTATGCATATACTGTATTCAGCATGTTGTTTGCTCTATATTTCCGTGAACCCATTGTCCGCAAGAAATACTGTACACAGATATGTAGTCACATAGGACATAGAGCCGCCCGTGCTTTGAAGACTTGTAACGCGAACAGCAGCCCGTACTGCTGACGTTTAAAATATATATAATCAGCTCAGAAGGACGTCTTGATGATGTAAATCGTCAATGTACATTAGTGCAGTATTTCCTTCACAGCATAATATGTCCTTCAAGGAATTCCCTTTGTAATTTCAACGAACATATTTCAACATCAGAGAAAACTTGACCTAATTAAAAACTTTATCCAAGAAAACTTGACCTAATTAAAAACTTTATCCAAGTAGTCTCTCAGCAGCAATTTTTTCGGCAGCGATGAAATTTTCTCTAATTCCAAGTTCCGACCCATATTTCATGAATGCATAATTTTACAGCGATATTAGCTGCATAATTAATCATGTTTGTTCTCGTGAGTGTCGTAGAGAGATAGAAAGGACGCTTCCATTTCGTGGTAATAAGTTCACTCATGGTTATTTATGGTTCAGAGCTAAAATGATCGCGAAATAATGTGAAAGTTGAAAAATCATTGAGGTGTTCACAATGAAAAATAGTTTCGCCAATTTCATCAGCGTTATCAGTTTGAGAACCATTTTGAAGACTGCGTACGCGAACGAAACTCGATGCCGAAAGAAAATTTCTGCTGTTGAAGTTTCACTATCGCGGCATTTATTGATGACCGAGTTTGACTCAAAATCTTTTTTCTCTATTCTGAGGACTGCTCGGTTCAAGTTTGTATCAGCCTTTCAGCAAGCGTGGAACGACAGTATACAATGCAGTATATTTAGGTGCACATATTCCTTTTGCTGGCGCAAATGAAGTTGGATGTAAAGCTTCGGATTACGAAAAGAAATAAGAAGACGTGACCCCGCTTCGCGCAATTTAATTAAGGCAGTGCTGTCGGTGGGAGACTTAAGCCGAAGCAAGTGTCCAAGTTGCACAGTGAGAAGCGGGCGAGAAATTCGCGCCGCGACTCGCAGGGAAACTCGGTACCAAAGTCTTCGCATCAGCCGTCACTTCCGCGTTTTGATGAGAATTGGATTTGACCATCAGGAAGGCTTTCGGCGGAAAACGCTATCCGACAGCAGACAGTCGAAACGAGGCCCGGGAAACAGTCGCACGAGATAAGCGCATCGCACGCAGCTCCGGCGTAACGAGGCGCAAGGATACTAAGGGACACGCAACAAGCGACGAAGACAGCAACTGAATAATGTCAGCAGATGCCCACAAGACCCATCCATCCATCCATTCATTTTTCCTTCAGACGCTGTTCTTCTTCGCTCGAATACAAACGGAGGGGGAAAAAAAATTGGATGGCGCTTTTTGGCCGGCACCCTTCAATCTTCATGAAAATTCCACGTGAGGTGCATGAGAATTAGTGACGCGGGAAATGGGAATCGCCGACTGGTCTAATTTTTTTTCCCCGCGGAGCTGCTCGCACATGAGCCAACGCAATAAACGATATCCCGTCTTCGGCGCATCACATTAGCGTTTGTTCCCTTCACCGCATCTCCGAAACTCTCCCCCAAGTCCCCCCAAGTGAAGCGAAGAAAACTGTCCCTTTAAGAGATTCGGAAGAGGACAAAGAAACAGTGTACTGACTGGGGCAAAAAAAATAAAAATAAAATCCCAGCAAAAAAGAAAAACTGGAAGTTCGTGCTGGTGCGTACATTTTGAAACAGTCAAGTATGAACTAGAACGTCCTTCATTTGAGACTAAACCTCAGGTCATATTTAGGAGGTGGCACACGACCACATCCATGTCTTGACACTGGTACAATCCACAAAAAAGTGATGGGTTGAAAAACCCCGCATCAGACTATTGACCCAGTCCCACACTCTTTTCAGACGCGAAAACATGCTGGTGGCATTTATACTTGAGGTTGGTTGTGTTCTGGAGACTGAGGCCACAGAGAAGTTCATATTTTATTGGAGAAAAGGTCTCAGACTTACACAGGTCTGAATTTGAAACGTGAAACAAGCACATTTTCAAAATTTGAATTTAAATGATGAACTTGCTTTTCCTAAGCTCGGACATCTTTCCGAGAATGAGAAATTGCGCGGAAATATGAACTAAATGTTTGCAGACAAGCAATTTCCACATTTTTTCTTTGAAATGCATGTAAAATATGTTTGAAGCTTTCATACCCACCTGAAGAGCTGTCAAAAAGTTAGATTGTGTTTTATATTCACACCTTTATTCGGTAAAATACGCTTGGTATTATCCAATGCGCGGTTTTTAGTTAGGGGAATTCACTTCTTGTTACAGTTACAGGTTTTCTTGAAAAATTTTACGCGGGGAAAATTGATTTGATCCGTAAATTAGTCCCAAGGTAGATGCAACCCCCTAGAATAATTAAATCCCATTGGTCCCTGCTTGTAGGAGTTGAAGAAAAAGTGAGGCCTTTTCTGATAAATAAAACAAATTCGTCATTTGAATCCGCACTTAATTTTTGGGCACGAAATCTGGGGAAATGCTCACTTTGCTTCCCCATCCTCTTCAGCATCAACACATCACGGGTATTCTGACAATAAAATTATGTTCAAAATCATGAATCTATTCGTGAGGCATTTCGAGTTTTAATTTGATTGAAGGCCTGTACTTTAGAATTAGGGGACTGAACCACGTTC